ATTATTTTGGAGGGCAGTTTGATAATGGATATTACTGTCTAAAATATGTATATAGTTTAACACTTCCACTTTTAGGAATGAATCCTATAAAAATATAAATTATACAAAAAACATTGTAGAAGCTACTTTGTGATCAATTTTTTACAAGTTGCTTATAAGAAATTATAAAACATATATACACATATGTAAGACATTTTGTTTTAACTTTATAACATTTAAATGAACATTCATTAGTCTTGATATAGTGCTAAGGCCTTTTAGGCCTTTGTTCGAACATGATTGGAGTACAGCATTGTCTTTTTTACCACACTCATAATGCTCTATCTACAATTTCCAGTTGATTTCTTTTAAAATGAAGCAAAACACTTGCAAAACAAAGTGAGTATAGAATCTTTGTAGAGTTTTAAGTTTTTAACAGGCTTTCACCATTTTCATCCACAGTTAAATCAAAAACATGTTTTAAGTAACTATTAGCCTGTTTTTCTAAAGCTTTCAACTTAATTTCATTAAAACAGCAACTCTCTTTCAGCACTCAATTATGTAATTAAAGTATGTAATTATAAATGCTAAGTACAACTGAACTAAACCAGGTTGAGACTACAACTGAATTTTGGCAAGCAACTCAGCTTTTGGTATACGAGTGCAAAAAACCTATTAATGTGGCTGATTACCTAAATTATAGTTCATCCATTCTGTGAATGAGGTAGCTTTAGATGTACTGATATGAAAAAATGTCTACAATGTTTTAAGTTAAAAAAAAATTAAAGCAAGTTGTAAATAGTATGTATATAAAAATTGCTAGTGTGTGTTTTTATGTACAAAGAAAATTCCAGAAGGATATAGACTCAACTGTAAACAGTAGTCATCTTTGGAATGACATCCCAAGAGAGAATACTTTCTACTTTATACATTTTAAATTCCTTGAATATTTTACAATAAATATCATTTCTATTTATAAGAAAAAAGGAAAAATGTTATAGAGCAGCCCTAATGCTAGACCTCAGCTGTAGCTCCCACACAGATCCAAATTGATATAGAAGTTCTTCCATGTGTTTTTCCTGTGATAGTCCCTTCAATCAGCTGTGGTCAGAGTGGGAGGTTCATGCTCCTCTCTGCTGTGTTCTGCTCTGCATCCTGTAAGTTTTTTTATGCTTCAGGTATGTTTCTCTTGACATTTCCCCACAGTGACAGAATTTTACAAATCACCCTGGTTCAGTCCTTTCACAGAGATTTTAATGGAAGGAAAGTATAAAATGCAAGGAAGGCTTAGGTCATATTACTGGTCTTAGAAACTTCTTTCTTTCCTCAGAATTTTCTTTTATATTACTGATTATTTTCTATGTATCCTTCAAAATATAAGTTCAGAAATAAAATCTTCATGGAATTCTTATTGAAATCAACTTGATATAAATTAACGGGGTAATCAAGCATGCATACGTATTTTTTTCATTTTTATGTAGTTATGTCATATTTTTATTTAAATTTTCTTTAATTTCATAACTTTTTAGTGTTCCTCTGTACCATACTCCCTTCTCTTTTTCAGTTATTTATATACCAATTGTAATTTCACTCATTACTTTTACTTTAAATTCTCTTCCATTATCTTAACCACTTGCAGTCTGGCTTCTGCTCCTCTAATTTGACTATATCCGGGTGCTTTCTTCATTTTCATATTCCTCAGCCTAATGAGATGTATAAGATAGTTCTGACCCCAATTCTTTTTCTCTGTCCAAAGCTGTGTTCTGTTTCTCCCTTTAACTCTCTCCTGTCCCTATTTTTCTGTCTTCATTCACCATATGATTTTTGTCATATTAACTTGGATCCCCATGCAGTACTGTCTAATAGGACATTCTGTGGTAATGGTAATGATCTATATCTGTGCTTTCCAATACAATGGCCACTAGCCATGTTTGGCTATTGAGCACTTAAAATATGACTATGTGTGACCAATAAACTAAATTTTTAAATTTTTTAATTTTAATTAAATCACCCTATGTGGTTAGTGGATGATATATTGGATGGCATAGCTCTATATAGTCTTTTACAAAAGGATCCAATCTATAGGTCTGTGTGTCATTGGTCAGGTTATTCATTGGAACATATTGTGGGCATAAGCAGCAAACTGTCTTCTTAAGAGTGCCCCATAAGGTACAAATCTCCAGTTGTTTAAAAAAAAAAAAAAAGTTGTAGGTATGTAATGTACAGCATAGGAAAAATAGTCAATATTATTGTAATAACACCTAGTGACAGATGGTTACTGGATGTATTCTGGTGATCACATGAAAAGGAATATAAATATTGAATCACTATGTTGTACACCTGAAACTAATATAATATTCTATCAACTATACTAAAAAAAAATGATTTCCCCATAAGTCTTGTCATTTTTACTCATACTTTCAATGAAATCTCCTGGGTTTCATACCAGATGATTTACTTCATCAGTATATCTGCCATTTTATCTACTGCTCACCAATTGAGCATGTGGGAAACTAGTCCACAATCTAGTAAGATCTTTTCCTCTTCTAGCATTATACTTACTATGTATAATGTAATAAGCCTACTTACTATGTAGTTCTGGCTGCATGCCAAAGTTGATCACACTTTGACTTATAACTTCCATTCATTTACAGCTAGAAATTACATATCTCTAATATCTAATACATTGCCTGGATACATTTTAATCTTAAAGGGTTTACCTTTCCCATTCTTAGTCTTGCCACTTGGCTGTCAGCCTATTTCGTAATCCCATGATGTAACAGATATCAGATATCACATCAGCCTATTATGTAATCAGAAGTAATGATATCTGAGCCTACTAGTGGTATAGGTATAAGAATTACTTAATGAGTATATATTGTTACATTTTATAAGTATCACTGAATATCTATAATGAGCCAAACACTGCTAGATATATTCTAAATATATTATTCCTTGTTTTTATACCCTGTTTGCAAGGTCATCTCATTTTGCCTGCTAGGAAACTGAGGCTCAAACGATAGGTTAATCCATTTGTTAAAAGTAGAATAACTGGCTAACTAGATGTAGAGTTAGGATTCAAACCCACCTTTTCAGAGCCCAAACTCTGTGTTGTTTCCAGTGTGCAACATGGATGCCTATTTAGCTCTCTTCCATTTTGCCTGAATCCATAACTTCCCTTTTTCCTCAGTCAGTTACTGATAAGGGTGAATTGTCTTCTCTCTTGCTGAATGCCATCAATGACCTCTAAGTATTTCTCTATTCCAGTCATAGTATATCTTCCACATATACAATATTTATTCCTGTTCTATACTTTCCCTGGAAATACCCATATGGAGTTCCTTTCCTCACAGTATTTATCTGCCTAAATCCAGAATATCCTTTTTTCTTTTTAGAGTGGTTGAGGCTCCAGGCACCTCAGAATCCCCTATATCAGAAATGTCTGTAGTCTTCTCCCATCAGGCTTTTTTTTTTTTTTTTTTAACTCAGCATTGTATTAAGCATTAGATAAAACTGGCATTTACCTGGAGTAGAGAAAAGATCTATTCTTGATAAGAGGGAATGTAGTGGCCCTGAGCAATGGATATAGGAGACAAAGTTGTAGGAGAGTGAGGGAACAGAAGTAGTTGTACTTCTGCAGGAAGAATGAACAACAGTGTGGACCTAACAAAGGATAAGTGAACAAAGCCCTCTCGGGCCTAGGTTAAGATAGGGGTCCAAGTAAGAGGAAGTCCACAGCTGTGCATAGGAAGAACTGGTAGGAGTGGGAGCTTTCCTTGAAGTAGAGGGTATATCAGAAAGAAGAAAGATAGATACATAATATGTTTTTCTCTTTTCAATTTTGTACTGACCTAGTGTGGAGGCACTTTGTTTTCAAAAGATGAGAAAGTTATGGAAAAAATATATCTAATTAACCCCCAAATGCTAACATATGCAGTTCTAAAATAATCTCTAAGCATATCAAAACATGAAAATGACTCCACCATGGGAATGACTGTATTTTGGAATGCCTATCAAGGCTTTGAAAATCAAGCTCACATTCTCCAGAAATTATTCCTTAACAAGCTAGAGAGTTTTGATCTCTGTTTTTCTTTTATACAACTAATAATCAGTATCATGTTAACTAATCATTCTTTATGTGCCATGTTAAATTTTTGTACTCAGAAGTTTTATCTTTCTCCTTAGAGTTCAAAAAGGGAAAAGGACCTGTGTCTCAGAATTTTCCCCCTTCTAATAGGTGCTCTAGTAGTAGGTTCTCTATAGGTGAATATATTAGCTGATTATTGTGGTGCGACATTAAAAGGACTTATTCATTTTCTTTTTTGAGATCATTTTTCAAACAGTAGTTTTCTTTCTGTTTTAGTTTTCTTTCTGTTTTTGCCGGCACCAAGCTCCTTTCCAGAAAGTATCAGGCATGTACTCTGTGGCATCATTTTTCTCTCAATGATGAGTAAAGCTGACCTCCACATTCCTTCTAGACACTGAGAAAGAACTTTTTTTCCTCTGATCCCTGATAAAATTTAGAAGTTGTTGAGCATTCTGTCAGCATTCATTCATTCAACAAAATGCTGCCATTGTCCTAGGCACTGGAAGCAACAGTAAGAAGAAAAAGAAGTAAACATCAATCTCTGCCCTCTTGGAGCTTTAGTCTTATTAATAGGACTGGACAGTGCAAGATGGACTGGAGACTTTAAAGACTAGAGGCAGAAAAACTGTTATTATGGTCTAATCAGTTATCTCCAATTCATTATCTTCTTGGCATTTAGCTTTGTCTGCATCTTAATGCCCTACATTTACCATTTTTCCAAGCTCCTCCTCATCACCAACATATATACCTTCCTCTGTCAGCCCTCTTCATTCTTTTTCCTTTCTTTGTATTTTGTTAATATTGCATGACCATATTTGAGAGATGTCAGAACCATGTACTTTATCCCAGTTAAATTTTTCAATCTCTTCTATAACAGTTTTCATTCTCCTTGCAAAGGAAAAAAGGAGACATTTGCTTTTTTGATATTTTTCAGACTGGGAGTCTTGGTATGAAATCAAGGAATTATCTCCAAAATGGTACACTGATGAAGAAGAAATATCCCAGAGGATCATAATGGAAAGACTTACAAGTTCTGACCTTGAATGCTCCAGTTTCCAAGAAGCTTGGAAATATGAGAGTGAATTTGAACAGCATCATGGAAATCAGGAGAGGAATTTCAGGCAAGTGGGAAGTCTTAAAGGAATCTCTTCTGTGAAAAGAGACAGAGAATATAATTATTCAGAGAGAAGCATTCTCTTGAAGTCAGTATTTTTAACACAACAGAGAGTTCCCACAGTAGAACAAGTATATAAATTTGATATTTATGATAAAATATTCTCTTCAAATTCAGTCCTAATTGAACATAAAAGACAACATGCTGAGAAGGAATCTTTAATGGGTAATGAATGTGAAGAATTCAACCAAAGTACATACCTTAGTAAAGACACAGGAATTCCTCCTAGGGAGAAACCTTATGAAAGTAATGATTTTTCAAATCTCTTAAGTTTCCACTCATTACTTACTCAACATCAAATAACTCATTTGGGAAAATTACCCCATGGATACAATGATGCCTTTAGCTGTTATTCATTCTTCACCCAACCTCAGAGAATTCACAGTGGAGAGAAACCATATGCATGCAATGACTGTGGAAAAGGTTTTAGCCATGACTTCTTTCACAGTGAACATCAGAGAACTCATATTGGAGAGAAACCATATGAATGTAAGGAATGTAACAAAGCCTTTAGACAGAGTGCACACCTTACTCAACATCAGAGAATCCATACTGGAGAAAAACCCTTTGCATGCAGAGAATGTGGGAAGGCCTTTAGCCGTTATGCCTTCCTTGTTGAACATCAGAGAATTCACACAGGAGAGAAACCATATGAATGTAAGGAATGTAACAAAGCCTTCAGACAGAGTGCACACCTTAATCAACATCAGAGAATTCACACTGGAGAGAAACCCTACAAATGTAATCAATGTGAGAAAGCCTTCAGTAGACGCATAGCCCTTACTCTGCATCAAAGAATTCATACAGGAGAGAAACCCTTTAAATGTAATGAATGTGGAAAGACCTTTGGCTATCGCTCACACCTTAATCAACATCAAAGAATTCATACTGGAGAAAAGCCCTATGAGTGCATCAAATGTGGAAAGTTTTTCAGGACTGATTCACAACTTAATCGACATCATAGAATTCATACTGGAGAGAGACCTTTTGAATGCAGTAAATGTGGGAAAGCCTTCAGTGATGCTTTGGTTCTAATTCATCATAAGAGAAGTCATGCAGGAGAGAAGCCCTATGAATGTAGCAAATGTGGGAAGGCCTTCAGTTGTGGCTCATACCTTAATCAACATCAGAGATTTCATACTGGGGAGAAACCCTATGAATGTAATGAATGTGGGAAGGCTTTCCATCAGATCTTGTCCCTTAGGCTACACCAGAGAATTCATGTTGGAGAAAAACTCTATAACTGTAATAAATGTGGGAATAATTTTAGCTGTGCCTCAGCCCTTAGACGACATCAGAAAATTCATAATAGCAAAACTCTCTGATTATAGCAAGTATAAGAAAGAAAACATTTAGTTACCACTCAGTCCTTATTAAATATCAGTGAATTCTTTGGTTAGTAATTCTATGAATGTAGTACATATGGAAAAGCCATCACTTCATGAGCATCCCTTATTTGAAATAGCCTGAGTAGTAGACATCTGTTACTTTGTGATCTGTTCTATGTCCCATTTGAGACTTACCTCACCCTCAATGCATATGATTATGATGAAACTATTAATTAGGGAGAGCAGAGGATTGGTCACAGGTGGCCAGTTATTTCCTTCAACCTAGTGATTAATAAAGGATTAGCAAATGGCCCTGTCCGGACAAAGAGAGCCCTAGGGGATATTGTTATGACTAGTAAGAGAAGTTTTTGTTTGTTTGTTTGTTTGTTTTTTCCAGGAATTGCAAGTTTCAAGAATTTAATAAAATTAAAAACTCACCAGCAGTTTTTTGTTGTTCTATTTTTTTTTTTTTTTTGCCATTACATGAAAGTTTTCCCAACACAAAGGAAAATGGAGATGAGAAAGAAATCTGATGAAATTGTTTGATCTCCTGGATCCAGTCATGCTTGAAGTCTTCCCAATCCTTTACTTCTTCATTTTTGTGATCCAATAAATTTCCTATTTTGCTTTAGTTAATTTGAATTGGATTTTTGCCTTTTGGAATTACTTGACCCTAAGTTTGCTATACATGTAAGAAAGCCTTGATCTTTTATATGGCATAATTATTTATCCTAAGGAGTTGAATACACAGACTTCATAAAGCTGAGAGAGCTGCTTCATTTTATTTGTTGATAAAAATTAATTCAGTACTTATTAGTCTGTTTCACAACATGGATGAATTTTTAAAAATTCACCTAGTAAAATCCTTAACAGGCTTTCTTGTAAGGAATTAAAATCAATTTGTGGCAGTGACTCACTATATGCCTTCAAATAAAGAATGGCAAGCTAAGAGAGTAATGGATCCATCGATTTAATGAATGGCTCTTCATCTTAAAGGAATTGATTTTCTGCTTTCAGTGTGGGTTTAAACATATGTTTTGATAGAATATAATAAGATAGAATTGATATTGAGGACTTTTGTGGGTGTGTTGTAAACTCGGTTTAAGAAGTTTAATATAATTTCTTTGGAACTAGAGATACCAGATAAAAACATTGCTGGTAGACAGAATGATCCATTTTCAACTAATGGTAAAAATAAGTTGGAACCTAAAATATTTAGAGAATAAATCATTACTATTCTTTGGAATAATGAAGATCATAAAGGTGGGAGGCACTAGATTTCTGTTTTATGAGTGAGACAGGGAGGTAAACCTTGATGATATGGAAACTTAGCTACCTTGAACATTTTGAACTGGTTAGAATCTTGGGTCTTGTCTGGAGAGCATCTATAAAAACAGATCAGAACAGATGAATTAGGAAAGAGTGAGGATTTATATATGTGCATGGAGCAAAACAATGACTACTATAATTTCTTTAAGGCAACTTATAGCTAACAAAAATCTGAAAATTATTTTTTCTTAAGTATTAAAACAAATTTCCTATAAACAATTTAAACTACAGATTTAGCATAATTGAATATTTCAAACCTTGAACAGAAACAAATGTAAAAGTTATAGAATAATGTCAGACATATTACATCTAAAATATGTTAATATTAAAACCTAAATTCACATCATCTTTTTTTATTATATTTCCTGGAAGTATAGGGATAGCTATTTTAATACTTTCTAAGAATTGAGTAATATCTTATTTTGGAAAGCTCTCCAAGGTTACAATAAATTTACCAGGCCTAAAGGAAAATGAATAATGACTCAATTGAAGAGTCTGAGTTACTCACTAATTGATTCTTGATCTACGTATGGCACCTGATTTCTTCCTCCAAGGTGGCCCAAGCCACTGATTGATTGCTTTTTACAGTTAAACTTCATTTGTAATGTTGTAAAATCTTTTACACCCATGCCTTTAGCGTAGGTGTTCGTAATTTACAATCTGGTGTTTCTCCTCACAATGAGGTACTTTTTTGTTGCTTATTTGCAACTATACAACCCATTGTCTTATTGTGATATATCGACTCCCATCTTTTAGCATTATTAAAAACTCATGTTTTATTACTATCTTATAGATATTAAGACCAGCTAGAGATTTCCTGTCCTAAGGAATGAGGGTTTGAGTCTATTCAGTTAATTTAGAACATACTGGCAAAACCCTTTCCACTTTGTTGAGTCTGATCAGTGGTGGTGTACCACTGGATTCTTTTTTTATTTGATTATTACACTGAACATATCTTTCTGCCTTGTTATAGTTTATATAATTTTTGCTGGTCATATTTAAGAGTTTTTAAAAATTTACTCTTCATTAAGCAGGTTTGCATTTGTGTGTGTGTCTGTGTGTGTTTTATTTTAAAATTTTGTATTGAGTGCCTCCCGTGTGCTAAGCTTTGTTCTAATCTGGGCATTGGAGATAAAAGTAGTGAATTAAACAGACAAACCGCCCTGCCTTTATTTATCCTATACATAATTTTCAGATATTCAGAGTATGATTTCAAATGAGCAAGACAGGCAATAAAAATTAGGTAGGTAGATAGATAGATAATAGATAGATAGACAGATAGATATAGATAGATAAAATATATGCTGTATAAAAGAGTAAATGTGAAGAAAAAGACGAAGAGGTAGGGGAGCTTATTGATCTATTAGATTGTGAGGCCAGGGAAGGCCTCTGGCCTCTTTTGAAGTTGACTTGATTAAAGACTTGAGAGAGATAAGAGATCTATCAATTCCACACACATACACATGTACACATTTCTATGTCTTATGGACTAAACAGAAAGGAAATCCATATGTGTGTGCATATATATATTTACATATATATTTACACTTTGTACTTACTAAACTTATTCTCATTTTATTATGCCTATGTATTTGTGTGTTGCATTTTAACATTTTGCTTTTTAGTCTTATGAATTCATGGCCTTTTACGGTCTTAACACATTTCAATTAATTATAATGTATATATTTTTGATACTCGAATAGAATTTAGCTGCTGGCCACTTTTAAGCTAACTGCTTTCTCCCTTCAGCACTGCCCTGACATCTTTGCAAGCATCCTTACTTTCTAGTAATAATAAAAGGTTCCAAACCCATCCTCACTGTTTTCTGCCTAAAGTCATGAAGTTAGCTATCATCCAAGGAATTTAGGAAGCGAAAAAACAAACATGTACATCTGAAAGAGGATATGAAACAAAAGTAAAGAAACTTGAAAGAGAAATACTTTTTCTCAGTAAAAAGTCTTGCTAGCTGGACATGGGTGTGAGGGGGCTAACAAAGACACTAAAGTAAGATTGAATATTCTTTATATACTGTATTTTCTATTGTTCCTGTTCCCAAGAAGAAAAAGCCCAGCTTCACAGCAGAGCTCGCTTTAAATAAGTAGTATATGTTAATTATGTTTTATAAAACTAAGTTGTTTCAGAATTTTTGAAACATTGTTTCAATAACTGAAATTTAAAAATGACCATTTGAAAATTAATTTGAATTTTAAATTGCCTCAATTGATATAAATGACTTAAAGGGAAATGTGGCTCCGCTGCTTCAGATGCATTGCAATTCCATTTCTCTTCTTCCTACAGGTTTTCTTTTAAAAAGTATTTCAGACATTTCTTCCTGAGCAAAGACAATGCAAAACTTTGTGTGATATATAATTAAATTTTCCACTGAGTCATGTGGTTACTCTCTTTGGATGCTAGGACTGCACATGAATTTTGAGCAAAATTAGTGCCGTTGTGATTGAGCTCCTTTTAGAAATAGCTAGAAAAAGTATTTCCTTGTTAAAACATGATTTCAAGTTCCTATTAGCATATTAATTTGTTGTACCCTACTAAGATACTTCTACTTTGTTCACAACCTCAAGATAGGGAGACAATATATTATGTGATGGAGAAAAGCAGATTCATTGAAATGACGAGATGAGAGTACTTTAGTGACAGGGAATGAGTCACCTTCCTGGTCAGCTTTCTTAAAGGTGTTTGCATGGTAATTCCTGACACATTCTTGCAGAAAGAGTAGTAGAAGTATCTGTTCTTTTGATTACTGGCACAGTATAGGCATTGGAGTTAGACCTTTGTCAGCTCTGGATGTCAGCTCTTTTAGTTGGGAAAACTGGAAAAGATAATTATACTCTCAGGATCAGTTTATTTATTTGTGAAAATGAAATAATTCCAGGCTTTCAAATTTTTGTGAGAATTACCTGTGTTAATGTAATATATGTAAATAGTTAACATGGCAGTTATTAATGATGAAATCAAGCAGGAAGTTGCATTGCATTCTTGAGAGCAAGCTATTCATGTGAGACAGAATTGTAAATTCAACTCTTATGTCCTGCTCCCCAGAGTATGGAGTCTGAAACAGAGTGCTCCCATCCTTTCCCTTCGATCCTGGAATGAGATCTGCAGCTCCACAGTCTCCCAAAGCTCCCTCTGTTTGGATATTTGAGGTTAGGACTATGCCTTCTATTAAGATAGAGGCCAGGAAGCGTATGGCTCTTGGTTTTTTAGATTTGCATATATGTTTTTGGACCTCTATTCATAATATGTTATAAATATTGTTTAGTCCAACACTCTTTTCTTGGTTCTTTCTCCCATGATTCCCAATTCTTATTCTCCAGAGGCATGCACACAGTTATGTTTGGTATGCCTTCTTAAATGTGTGTATGTATATGTGTGTGTATATATCCCTTATCAAATAAGTCACATGTATTTGAAATTTACATTAATAGTATTATGCTATAAAAGAGTCATTTTTACTACTCAGCACCACTTTTTAGATCTATCATGCTCCTCTGTGCACAGAGTCTAATGCTATTATTCATCACTTCTCGCATTTGTGTAGTAATCCATAGTATTTTTTACTATCATTCATTCATTCATTCATTTATTCCTGTAATGATGGATAATAACTGCCACAAAAAACATTCTAGTATGTGTCCCCTTGTGGACCTGAACTAGATTAGGATATTTACCCTGGAATATTGTAAAAAGGTTTTTTTGCACAATTTTACTAGATACAACCAGATTACTTTCTAGATTGGCTACAACTATTTACATTCACACCAGCAGCTCCTCTTTCTATGTCCTTGTAATCATCCGATATTATGTTCCTTGGATGTTTTAGTTTGCATTATTATTGTTGACTACTGGTGAGTTGGAGCATATCTCCATATACTTCTCAGTCACTTGGAATCTCTTTCTATTAAGTATTTTTTCTTCCCTTGTTCATCTCTTATCAAGTTATCAAATCCATTCATAATAGTTTAGTTTAAATGTACTTATAAATCCATCTGGGCTTTAGGCTTTTTCTTATTTGGAGGGAATATTTCTATACCATTTTAATTTATCAGGTTTATTTAGATTTTGTTTCTTGTGCCACTTTTGGTATTTTAT